TCTTTTAATTGTTTGAGATATATGAAAAGGACAAATTGATAATAATAGACTTCAGAGTTTTCCCCTCCTAATTTAAAAGGACTTATTAAGATGAGAAGTGGTGGTGATAGACTTCAGAGTTTAAAAAGACCAATTGCAACCACTATTTATTAAGATGAGAAGTGGTGGTGGTCAGTGGCGGCCCGTGGTTTATCACACACACACACACACACACACACACACACACACACACACACACACACACACACACACACACACACACACACACACACACACACACACACACACACACACACACACGCACGCACGCACACACACATGCTCTCTCTCTCTCTCTCTCTCTCTCTCTCTCTCTCTCTCTCTCTCTCTCCTTATTTTATACCCCCTCCCCCACTCACACACACCACAGTAAACATTGTAATAATGTGAAAGAGCTAAAATATGCGGTAGCGTCAAGAAAAAATATTATGAATAATGTAAGATGGAAGTTACTGAGATTAACAGAAACTCACTTGATCGACACAGAAAAAGAAACACACTACTTGAGTTTAAGCTAGAAAACAAACTGAAAGTGAGAAGCAACAAATCGCTGATCCTGGCCTCCAATACAGTACTTTACTCGTACTTTCTACACCCCCACACAAAATATCGACGTGCACTGAACCCGTTAAATATTTGTAATAAGAACTGTCCTGTATGATGACAAAAAGTCAATTGCTACTGTACCAGTGACGCTGTCCCAAGCAGATCAAGTCTACAATCAGATGCTATACAAAGCTGGACAAAGCACAAACGCTTCCGATCATTATATCATCAAATGTACTTCATCGCACTTCTCAGTTCTCAGAACTGAATACTGAACACTGTATTGTAACAAAGTGGGGAAGTGTGTCAAATGCTAATTATAGAACTTGGTGTCTAGCTGGGGTGAGGGTTGAAAAGGGGAGGGAAGGGAGGGGGTTTTCGGCCCAGACTCTGACAGCCGAGTGTCTATCGCTCCTCGTTAAAATTTTCCTTATATATCTTCACTAGACGATTCCTTCTTTCGCCGGCCAGACCCCCAAGAGCCAGGTAAGTTATTAGTGAGGAGAAAACGATGAGTAAATGCCAAACAGGAATTATAGGTGGTTAAAAAGTCAATAAACAAAAAAGAGTAGTGCCATACTGACAATAAATGTTCTGATAGTAGTTAGAGAAAGGCTGAATGATAAATACATGTTTTGCTGATAAAATAATACATGTGTCTGTGCTGCTCAAGACAGTCTCATTCTTAATGTTGTAAGCTACAAAGAGGCCAATCTGGCAATTAAGATATACACTAATCTTTCTGTGGGCTGACGATGGATTTGTCCAGAGACACTAAAATATAATTAAATACTCTCTGATTTGTCCTTGAGACTGACGTCATCGCTAGGCCAAAGCCAAGCCAGCTGTGTGTTTGGCCTCGGGCCAAGGAGATTAAAAATTAGTTCTAAACTCCTTGCCTCGAGCGTAGTACGAAGTTCCGCGACGTGACGGTTTGACGGGAGACGATTTAAAGTTACGAGCCGGCGCGATAACAAACGTGAAGGAATGAGGTTATGTCGCGACAAAACAGCAGTGAATCCCACTTGTCTATTTGAGCGCCTTCAAATCGGCAAGGTGTTTTTGAATGTTGATACATGTTTGTTTGGATTTACTTAAAACTGAATGAAAATCGTCATCAGCAATAAATTTCTTGTCAACAGTTCAGTTGACAAAAATCTGACCGGCACCGCCGGTCTTGTCCAGTTAACAAACCGCCCCTGGCGGTGGTAAACTCCTACAAATATATTGGAAAAAATCATCTATAGCAAGCTTGGCTGCTCTGGTGCATAAAAAAGATTCAGTAAATCAAAGAAACTTCCTTTTTCATAAAATGAAGAAGTTTTCATGTCATGTAGATATTAAAATTAGGCCGGCACTATTTCTCCGAACGTTCGGGAAAATAAAGCTGGGCACTATTTCTTCGAACGTTCGGGAAAATAAGGCTGGGCACTATTTCTCCGAACTCTCTGAAATCACATCCTTTCTCACAAATTTCGGATATATAGATTCCAAAGATTGCTCGTATACAATATGGTTCAATCGGTCCAAAAAATATCCGCAGTAAATATTTATATAAAGAAATGCTACAGTTCCAAACAGTTTTTCGCTACAGATATGACGTGTTGCCTATGAAGGCTGCTGCTCTTAAACTTAATGTGTTGTGTTTACTCGTGTGCTGTCTAGATCTAGATCTACGGAGGATTATTGATCACGACACATAGAACTAGCTTCTGCGTTTGTCGCGGCAGCGACCAATCAATCGTGGCTCGATTTTTTGGCTTTTTGTGGTCGGGGAATAAATGTCAAATAAAAAAAAAAAAAGAAGAAAGAAGCCGAACCTCTTTACTTTCGAAAGAAAGTTCACTAAGCTTCACTTAGTCTCTTTCTCATTTGTTGTCACCACGTTGATATTTGTTGAATACGTTACAGTTACTTTTATTTTTCCCTCTTTGACTCTTTGTGGTGTTTTCTTTTGTTAGCGTTTAATTTTTTTTCTTGTTATTGTTCTGATGTGTTGTTTTTCTATCAATTTTATTGTTGGGGAAAAGGGGGGGGATGTTGCATAGTTTAACGTCATTTAATTTGATGTTCCTACCTTCATTAGATATATATATGTATATAATACAGATTTAAATGTGTTATGTTAGAGCGTACGTTCCACCAAAACCGATTAAATGTACTGACACTGGCAGGCCCCTTAATGTGTGTGATTCCATAATTTACATGTAATATCCTGTACTTTTTTTTTTAATTTACGCACATTTGGGGTTAAAACAGCCAATCTTCTTCGGACAGGTGGATACACACC